GCTATGGAATGGTATTGCTATCATAACATCGGGACAATCATGTAGTCTTAGGTGTAGGTTATCAGTTTTAATATGTGGTTCTTATTATAATATGCATATAAGTAAGTTTCGTAATTTTCCTGAAACTTCTGGTTGACACCCTATATAATTAGATAATTCAATCATTTTAATATAATATTTGTCTTTAAGCATGTGGTTATAATAATTTTATTACATATATTTGTCATTCTGCGTATAATTGATAGTTTCAGCGCGGTTAATCAGCTTAAAATGGATTAATACGTGTGGTAGTAATAAGTCCGCTGAGGGACACAGCTTTTGTAATGTTTCTGAAACATATTTTAGCAAAACACTAAAGATATCTTTGTTACATGTTTAGGCAAATTTACAATAATAAAGTAATAGAATAAAAAGTACAAATATATGTCGTATAATAACTTAATTATTATAAAAATATAATTTATATACATTTTCTGTCGTTAAAGATTTGGTAAAAGAGGGGCCATTGTTTCAAATTTGTCTTTTAATTGATACAATAATGTATGACAAAACAACGGGATGTTAAAAGTTTGACGTGTCTGTGTGTGTATGTGTCTGTCTGAGGCAACATAGCTCCCAAACGGGTGATACGATTTTAATGCATTTTTTTGTTTGAGAGGTATATCCATCGATATATCAATACTCTTAGAAAGTACATATCAATCACATAAAAATCACATTGGTACTTGCCAGGGCCAGGTCGAACCCGCGACCTCACGCATGAGAGGCGGGCCCTATAACCACTAGGCCACCACTGACTTTATTGATTGTACTATATATGTAATGATGGTTTTGAATAAAGATTAAATTTTTATAAAATAAACAATAATTATAAGCATACATAATATGTAAATATTATTATGTAATATTAATCATTAAAGTCAGTGGTGGCCTAGTGGTTAAGGGGCTCGTCTCTCGTTGCCGTTCAAACCTGGCAAGTACCAATGTGATTTTTAGGAGTAATATGTACTTTCTGAGAGTATTTAGACATCACTGACATACGGTGTATTTTTTATACAAATAACTATTTAATCTTCCTCAGGACTTCATAGTAATTTAGTATAAAGCATAGAAAAAATACTTGTATGCCAGGTTATACATTTGCAAAAAATTTTAACATTTTTTGTTATTAAGAGCTACCAGATTATATATAGGTTTAATTTAGGGCTTAGATGAGAATCATGACGAAGTCAAATTTATCCTAATATCCTTTAAAATATTACGATAAAAATATGATTTTTATCTTGTTTGACTTTTCATGTAGAATCCACTATACAAATTTTTTCCTATATGTATGTATAATATGTGTGTGTGTGTGTGAGTGCGTGTGTATATCACAATACGCATTATCTCTTATTTATTATATAACATCAAAATTGGCTTGGTGTAGTGTTAAAAAAATAAAAAAAGGTTTCGATCTATAATATAAAAATACATAACTTGCATTTTTTTCTAATAAACATCTAATGTACCATAACCAACGACCTATTTAACCAGCCCGTAGAAAAATACATTTGCTTCCAACATTCAGTTTGACGCACAATAAACTGTGTATATATTTTTTAAACGTTTGTAACGCTCTTGTTTTTTATTAGAATTTCCGTACAAACTGTTAAAAGTTGGACGTTTCGGTGAAAAAAATAAAAGAGGAATTTTCCGTTCGCCTCTCTAGCTGGTAATTAATATTTCGATATTATTCCTGCAAAATATAAACATGGATGGAATGCTGAAATATTGTTTTGATTTCGAGTAATTAAAATTGAATAATGAATTCGTGTTTTCCTGAACTTAATTGTTAACAAATTCACAGAAACTCATTCTGAATCTTTTTTTATTACAATTAGAAATAGTTTCCCTTATTTGTCCGTCGTTGTGTCTGCTAGAGTAAAGATTTATTATCATCTATAATAATACTTTAACCACCAAAAAAATATTTTTTTGCTGGTGATAATCAAAATGTCTGGCAAATTCTGCCAACAAAAAGTTCGTGGCAGTATTCATTTTACATTTTTTAGAAAATTTCCTACAACAAACGTAATAATCAGACGTCTGACTTTTGGTAAAGTGAGTACAATTTTTACTTCCCTGTAGCTCCTAGGACATGAGAATTTTCCATTGATAAGGTAGCAGATATGTACACGTTTACAGTACACAATAACATATTATAAATGTTTTGTCCAGCCAAAAATAAGTAAAATCTGACACCATTGCTATCTTGGACTATCAAGAATATTAAAAGAGAGTTATTTATGAATTGTCTTAATCATAAAATCAGTACATTAAACCTATTACTTTGTTTTAACTATGAACTCTATTTAAGAAATTGTTTTGTAGTTATTTTCCTCTTGGACTTGCACTTTGTGTTTATTATGATAACATGACAGAATACTATAATACTTCAATTATAATAATAATTACTTGTCAATTTTAATATATATATATGTGTACACGTTCCAAGTGTTCCAAGTGTGGACGCGTGCGGCGGCGTGCTGATACAACAACACGCCGCCGCGCGCGAGTGTGTGTGTGTGTGTGTATACCTAATCTGTAGGGTGTTCATACGATGCGTAATTAATTACATAACTTTTGGTTAACTTTACTTAGAAGTTTATTAATATTTATGTTATATTAATTTTTATTTTGTCATATATGATAGGCAAATATCACGTCCTCAAATATTCATAGTAATTCACCAGTCACCCTGTATATTTAAAAAAAAACATATACAAAACATCCTCTCTTAGAATATTCTTCTTCCTGGCAATTTCCCAGCTTTAGCCAGGGTCTGCCTGGATCCTCTCTTAGAATATCATTTTATAATGCACAAATTGTGTACTGTAAAAATAGATTGAAATTTTATTTAAAAGAAATGAAGACGGTTGCAAAGGCCTGTGTAATTTCAAAGCAAACGATAAATGTTTTAAGCAAAACAGAAGCATTCGGATGTAGCGATGAGTATGATTTGAAATGTTTGATTCAATAAAATTAAGTAATATTATACATATTATGTAATAATTTGCCAAATACATATACTAGCTTTTGTTCACTGCTACGTATGGGTTTTTGTATCTTCGTGTTATATTTAAGTCTCATTTATCTCAAATGTTAAGTATTTCAGTAACGGAAATGTTTATATATATCCCTACTAATATTGTAAATGCGAAAGTAACTCTGTCTGTCTGTTACGCTTTCACGCCTAAACCACTGAACTGATTTTAATGAAATTTGGTACAGAGATAGAGTTGACCTTGAGAAAGAACATAGAATAGCTTTTATCTCAGAATTTTGAAAGGTTCTCTTGGAAACGCGATATAACCGAACTCCACGCAGGCGAAGCTGCGGGAGGGACGCTAGTATGCATTCATTTATTTATACATTAAAATTATTTTCTTATAAGCTCAGAATGTTCTATGAAGACCACGTATTGGAGTATCATACATTATTCAAAAGATATCTTAACTTTTATTTAGTTTTAAATTAGTTTTTAACATGATATAACTAAAATGATGGAAATTTATGATAAGTTATTTCGTTTATGTTAAACTATAAGGCTGTTTTCGTTGTTGGATTAACTTACGATCAGGTTAAGACCTTACAGTGAACTTAGTTAACCTATTACTGAGCTATTAAATCTCTGACGTGGTTCTTAATTCATTATGTAATTCCTTACGACAATTTAATCCATCCATGCAAGGAAGGTTAGATAATCTACAAGTTTAAACTGATAGATGAAGTTAGTGTTACTGTTTGAGTTATTAGATCGATGGAGAAGTGTTTGAAAATCTACATATATATGTCACGTGTCACGTTGTTTGTCTGTTATGTACTCCTAAACTATTTAACCGATTTTAAATTAAATTTTGCATATCGTAGTATACGTACGTAGTATAGTAAACAGTAGTTTTATCCAATTTGAAAGATAGCTTACATATTTTATTGCATTTTTTTTTGCTATTATTTATAATCAGAATTATCTGTTAACTCCAAATGATTTGAACAGATGCGATGTCTGTTGACTATAGTTGATATATTGTTTTCACACTCTATACATTTCATTCTGTTACGTGTTTACGCGGCTGAAGTCGCGGGCAAAAACTAGTGTCTTATAAAGTGCTACCATTACCTCTGCCAAAAAGATTCGTAATACCGTCAAAAGACATAATTATATTCCTATTTCAATTTTCAACGTCCTTTCAATTCGGCTTAGGCATGTGTTATAAATTTGAGGTATTTCCCTATAAAATTAGGCTTTTTGATTCATATAATTCTCCTGAAACTATTGGCTGGTGCTCTCCTAATTTGAGAAACAAATTACTTCGTTTTATTTCATCATTTAAAAGTTAGAAATTATGAAGAAGCATAATATTTACCTGTTCAAAGCACTGCACAATATATCATTTATAATAAACTAAAACTACGTAGTTATTTCGTCCATTCGCAAATAAATGTTGCAGCATACTCTCACAGTACTTCACATATTGAAATACTAAATTATGGCTTAAACAAAGTTTGTTGTTTATGTGAGTCTGGGGTCATTCTGGTTAAAATATTAATAGTACCGTTCCGTTTTCAATAAAGACTTTGTTAATTATTTACTGCCTGTACCCTTGTGGCCAATGTAATTTTGATTTTAAAAAACTGAGAGAAAAATAATTAAAAAGTATTCGTTGCCCACACTTTTGTGTGAAGGTATCTTTAATATTATAATATAATTTGTATTAATATGTCAGTCTGAATAAAATGGATTAATTCAGAAACAACTTGTCATGATTTGCTAATTGGACACCAATAAAATAATAATTAAATTTCCATTGATACGTTATGTGGTGATTGTATATTTATTTACGATATAAATTAAACATTACTATAATGATGTAACCTTAATTAAAATTTATAAATATTTGTTGCTATGCATCATTAAAGCAATGATTTCGGATCAATATATTACAATGAATACATACCTTTTATCAAATTCGTGTAGTTCTTCCGATGTGAACTGGCTGGTCACGTCCAGGAGTTGTTGGATGTGGTCGTTACAGATTCTGCTGTTACGTCTTTCATCACCATCCCTCACTAGTATGGTTGAACAGCCGCCATAGTCCAGGGAGAGGGAAGGCTGCTGCACCACGATTGTTGTTCTTCCAGCAGGCATTGATGAAGCAGAGTCCAGCGGATTTGCAGTAACGTGGACTTGAGCGGCTACAGAGATATAGAAATATAGGTGCTATATCATTCTGACTATATTTAAAGCACGAAATTTACAATTATTTACCTGTTGATTGTCTTCTTGAAGATGGAGGGGGAACGGAATGTTGATGTGTTGATGATCGTCTTCTACTCTTCGTGAATACCTCCGTGCCTTCCAATTGTCTTCTTAACTTTGCTACTTCATCTTTATAATATTCCTGTTTCTCTTTTTGTTTATTTTTCATCCTCGGCTCGCTGCCTCTCCTCATCACTGTTTCAGGTTCAAAATCGAAATGCGTCTCATATTTGATCTGGCTAGCTTTTGGGCTTTTGGGTGGGTCGCATTTCGGGTCGTATGGTATTTGTATCGATGTGGCAGGCCCGCCTAGACCTGTTTGGCTCACTTGGGTTTTGTTGCGAGGTTTCTCCTTTTTGGGATCAGGTAATTGGACATCAAAAACGAATCTTGCCGGGCCCGGCCGTGGGGAATCAATGGTGTCTGTGGCTGATTGGGGAATTGTGTAAGCTGGTGCATCGAATTCACAGCTGTCCTGTGCTCTGTGGTAGTGGGGTGGGGCTGTGCTTGGTGGGTTTTGGGGTTCTGGTGGAGGCTGAGGGGGATCCGCATCGATGAGGTCGGGTTCAGCATCCATGGATTCATCGGTGCCAGTGATGGAGGTGAGAGCGGTGGCTGCGGAGTCGGTGGAAGTGTTGATGGTTTTGTCTGATGTGGTGCTGCTACCCATAACGACAACCTGTGGAGAAAAATACCCTTCATTAATTAAATAATCATACAGATATATTTACATTAACATATTAATTTATTCCTTATGAAAATTACATTTCATTTAAAGATACTATTAAAACAGAAACTATAGATATTTAGGTTTTAATGAAGTTATGGACCTCTTTAGATCATTTATATAAAGCGTGTTAATAGTGACTATGATTGAAATCAAATTATTTTAACAATTAAATACTAAAGACACCTATTTCGTTATTATTAGGTAATTTTAAATAATAAAACTGAGATTTATTCAAAATATGATATCAATAAGTACGACAGAAACTTGTTTACACAAGAATAACAATACGTCTGTTTGAAACAAATGCTGTTATTTTATTATAGGTGTTGTTTACATTTATTTTTAGGCTCGATTTCATTAATTGACATGAATATTTCATTGTGTCACCCTTATGACACCGGGGACTAAAAATAAAATAGTAATTAGCGTGCTATACACAAATAATTAAGTCTGTGCGTGCGTTTTAAAAAATGTATGGCTTATAAAAGAAAATTGCTTTAACTCCCGCTCGCATCTTTGAAAGCTTTTACGCGGCTGGCTATATGTTCATTTGAAAGCTTTTTATATAAATTTATATAAAATTAATTCAATATAGCACTTATTATTAGATTGGTAATGTTTTATGTATATAAGGAAATTATTATTTATTATATTATAGTCGACAATAAGTTGGTAGCGAATATAATGATCAGGTTTTGTTTTGTAAACAATTTTCATAGTTCTTTTTCTACCTGGCAATTTCCCAGCTTTAGCCAGGGTCTGCCTTACATGTTGCGAATAGTTTTGGCTAATTGTTTTTACGACCGGCCGCCTGTCTGACATCAACTCTTTTTGGGAATGCATTAATCAGTGATGTCTAAATATGTACACTTAGAAAGTACATATGACTCGGAAAAATTACATTGGTACTTGCCAGGGCCAGGATCGAACCGGCGCCCTCATGAATGAGAAGCGGGACTTTTAAACACTAGGCCACCACTTATGAGATTTAAAATTATTTGAAACTAGATTTCGTCTGCGTTTGTTTCAGAATTGGACATGTATAGCTGACCGAGTAAACATGGTTTCTTCTTAAATAATAAGAAGATTATGGATTTTATGAATTTATTTTTTTCTTATTTGATCAGATTAAAAGTATCCTAGGTCCTTTTCCTGTTCTAAACTATCTCTCCACCAACTTTCAGCTAAACCCGTACAGTTGAGTTATAAATAGTGTAACAAATACAACTTTTAATTATGAATTATAAAGATAAGTTATTGATAAGCATTTAGTTTTCATGTGATATCTTTATATTGCTTACTAGCTTTCCGCCCGCAGCTTCGCCGCGTGGAGTTCGGTTATATCGCGTTTCCAAGAGAACCTTTCAAAAGTCTGGGATAAAAACTATCCTATGTTCTTTCTCAAGGTCAACTCTATCTCTGTACCGAATTTCATTAAAATCAGTTCAGTGGTTTAGGCGTGAAAGCGTAGCAGACAGACAGACAGACAGACAGACAGACAGACAGACAGAGTTACTTTCGCATTTATAATATTAGTAGGGATTTCATTCAATCAGCCTAATAGTAATAAAATTAATTTTAATATTGTTTTAGAAAATTTACATCTATCGGCCATTTTAATTTATTATACAACATTAGAAATCAGCTTGTATTGAACAATGCCTGAGAATACAACTTGTTCATTATCATAACTTACTAAATTTATAAATATAATATTATATTACAATAAATAAAAATTATAATTGTAGATTTGTATCAAAAATAATAATAAAATAATCCACTTAAGTGTTTTGTTACTCTTCCAAGTAAAATTCATTTTGGAAAAAGAGTCAATGTTTCTCAATTTTTTAGGACTTTATTATCCAATTTGAACAAACAACTTCCTTACATTTCATAGTTTAATCAATTTTGATAATAAAATGTATTACATGAAGGATGAAAAAAACAGTATTAAAAATCATCAACAAAAGGACAGTCCAAGCAAATAATTAAAGAGTATTTGTATTCATTTCAAACATATATAAAAGGTTGTTGGATTCTTAAAGTATCTTGATTTACTTTTATATAGTTGAAAAGAAAATAAATAAGTATAGACATATGTATCTCAAACTCACAATAGATTTTATAGATCAAAACGTTTCGACACAGTAAACCATAATATATTTTTATTAAATAGTTAAATGATTATAATCAATTAACTTTAACTCAATAATCATAATTTTTATCTTAATTATCTACAGCCGAAGTGAAAACACATGTCCATATTATAACATTAAAATCATTGACCATATTTGTTTCAGAACAATCTTGTAGTGTTCATTGTTACATCAATGCATTGATAATAATCTGTAAATAAACATTTGATATAAATGAAACTAATATTTTTCAGATATACTACGTGTATGTTATTATTTGTAGTACTACATGCTGCCGAAGTTTCGGTTACTTTTCAGCAACCGTGATCACGGACAGACGAGATGTGAATGTCTTTGATAGCTTATAATACCAAACACTACTACGGCCCGCGACTTTATTCGTATAGGTAGAATATTTCAAAATTAAGAATGCCTAACCACTTCATAATACGTTTATTTACTAGGAGTTAACAACCCGTCAGAATAAGTCTAGCCGTTTCAGAGTTTAATAAGAACAGATAGACACACAAAATTTTCAAACTTATAATATTTTAAGCTCCAAATTAATTAATTTGATATTTTATTCGACGTTTAAATATGAGCATAATTAAAATGATGTTACAAAATCATATTCATGAATAAATAATATAATTATGAATCAGCTCGGCGTGTTCAAAGCGAAATTTCAATAAATTGCGGTTTCGTCATATTATACTGAAATACTCGTTATGTTTTGAAGGCTTGAACAAACACAAATGACGGATTATTTGACAATTTATTAATTAAAAACCTATATAAATATAGACAAAAATTAAAGAAATTTAATATATTTATTAGAATTAAATTATTAGAATATCATCAGATTCAATATCAATACTGAATATTACTTTAATTGGGTACATCAGGTCAAGACGGATAGTGTTATGCCATACTCTCACATATGAGACGAAACCTCTCATCATTCAATGTATTCACGGTGCGTGTGTCGGGTCCATCGTTGTAGTGAGAGGAGCTTCAACAGTGACTGGGACTTGTGACCCAGGTGTAGGTTTAAGAGGCTACTATGTAACGCGCGTTAAACGCTCACCTCCACCCTACAAGCTCGATGAAACGATTTTTTATGAAATTTTTCACGGTCTTAGTGAGTTTCATTGAAAATAATTCCAATTTAAGTTTCTCGGATACTACACATTTTCATTATTTTGTAACTAAATAAACCCAGCGTTTCGGACCTTATAGACGAGGTCAAAATAATAAGTGAGACGAAATGTGTACACTCGAAAATCTTTCATAACAGTGTGAAAATAATTCTATAATTGATAATTTAGTCGATGTTAGTTTTAGTATACACACACTCTTTTTTATGATAAAGGGGCAAACGAGCAAACGGCTCACGTGATGGGGGTAGCTACCGTTTCTCATGGACATCCGCAACATTTGTGTTGCCCACCTGAGTTTTTTAGAAATAGCGAAGGGTGGGAATAAGGAAATGTCAGGAAAAGGTGGGAATAGCGAAAGGGCAACCAGCTCTCTCACTCGTCGGACGAAACACAGCCATTAAAGATTACTTCACGCCGAACTTCTGTGAGGAAGTGGTTTTAATCTGGTCGAGCCAGCCCATTTCCGAGCTGCTCTTCACTCAAAAGTAAACTACGTAAATATTACCTGCAGTGTCACAATATGGAATGTAAATTTACTGATATAAAAGATCGATAAATTGTTATGAAAATAATCTTTTGATGTAAACGGAATGCCTGACAGCAATTTATCTCACAATGCCTTTGACACAAACAGTTCAATCACGTCAGTTACTATTGTCAACACAGCATCTTTGAAAAATAATATTGTCTGTTTGTTTGTAAGACAAGTGTTTCCTATTATTTATATATTTATACCATTTGTATTCATCACAATCCCTGAAATATTGTCTGACTAATGACTAATAAATTAAACTCTTAAATTATTAAAAAGTAACCTTAAAGGTCATAAATTTTGAAAATAATTAAGTCTTAATCTTAATCGTAATTATAAAAATGATCCACATATTCCTTAAATATATTAATGTATAGCAACTAAAAAATGTTATCACTTATGTGACATACACGCAACATGTTTATAATTAAATGAACATCGCCAAGGCATCGTTGTATGGATAAAAATATCATATAACGAGTGACGCTTTGACTCCACGGAACGAAAACCAAGCCGTGTGAACCAGAAGATTCCTGATACCACACAAGCTATGGAATGGTATTGCTATCCTAACATCGGGTCAATCATGTAGTCTTAGGTGTAGGTTATAAGTTTTAATATGTAGTTCTTATTATAATATACATATATTTAAGTTTCGTAGTTTTCTTGGACTCCGGTTGCCACCCAATATAATTCATGAAAACCATTGTAGTGATTGAGCGAAAATGTTCTTGGTTTATTAAGACAAAGGTGTTGTTAAGTACGAAGTAGCTCGAATTATTTCAAGAGAAAACCTTCAAAAGATGAAGTTAATTTCCAGCTTTCAGTTCAGTTTGTAACAGTGTTCGTATTTGAACGGTTTCTTTGTAACAAACGACTTGAGGTTTCTCTTCTTTTTCCATTAAATATTCTGCCAGGTATGCTCTCTTTACTTTCAACTGACGCGTCTTTAATAACTCAGTTAATTTACTTGTTTTAATACTTTACTTTCAACATGTTTAATTACTTCCTTGCTTTACCCGTTCTTAATTACTAGCTCTTCACATGTGGATAATCTTTTAAGTTAAGCTAGATATGAAGCGTTAGAAAAATTAAATGAACTTAGGTTTAATTTTCTCTTATACTAAATAAATGTGAAGTTTTGTTTAGTAAGGAAGATTAGTA